GCTGCAGCTATCCAAGGGCATGTCCATCTTCCTCGACGTAAGTACGGAGGGAATGGGCTAGGCTGGAGCTTCCCAGGATCTGTCCCTTCTCCAGGAGGAGTGAGTTGTGCACGGTGCTGACCAGCCAGTGGTCGCCCTCGGAGCGCTGGGGAGAACTACCCACCTGCTGCCCAACCACTGAGGCAAAGGATGAAAACCGAGGTCCCCTACCTGCAGCTCAACCACCCATAACGAAATTGGAAAAGTTAGACTTCTCCACAACCTGGGTTTGTTAGGGACACAATTGATTACAACAATCCACAGTCTCCATTTGGGTGAATAGGGCTTTTCTTTTCTTTCTTTCTTTCTTTCTTTTTTTTTTTTTTAACGTTAGAAGAGGTATGGGGTGAGGGGGTGGCCCACCTCCTCTCAAATGCCCTGTTTGCAGCTCCCAACCTCACTGATGTGCCTCACTTAGAACTAAGACAATCGAAGGAAGAAGGAAGCCATGGAGATTGCAACCCCCGTCCTCCCCTAGACCCCTCGGAAAACATTACTTAGAATATATTTTTCTTTTTAGAGTGGTGCCAAGATACTGTTCATGATGATTCTTTTCTCACTACTACCTCCTACTTTTCATTTTTCCCCTTCCCTGTTATTCTCCTTACCCGCTACCTCTCCAAGTGGTAATTACTATTATTATACGCATCAATTCCAGCTTTTGACTGCTTTGCCTTTAGTCCTATACCTCACTTCAGTACTGACTTCCTCCATAGGAGGAATTTTCTTTCTTTTCCTTCGGTGCTATTTCTCTGCTTTCATGCTGTAGTTTCTATCTTGACAGCAGTTTTATTTTTTTTTTTAAGTTCTCAATTTTGCTTTACTCTCCCTTCCTGCGGATTCTCTTCTGTGTATTTTTCACCCTGTTGCCCAGCCCTTTTCTCTGCCTTTGAGTTCTGCTGCCTTCCTAGTTTTCCTCTGCCTCTCAGCCCCTGGCTCTCTTAGCCCCTCAGTTGTTATGTTCATGTTCTCACCGGAGGTAGTGTCTGGCTCATTGGGGACAATTGTGGCCATTTCTTGTTTAGCCATGAGAGAAAATGGGCAAAGGGCATGAGGAGTGCTGTGTGTTCTCTCTTCATCTTCCGAGTTATCATTTCTTATTAATATACAAGTAAATGGAAGGTAGGTCAAAAAGCAAGTGCTTTTATTTGTGGAAGAATGAAAATAGGAGGAAATCAAATTACTAGGACTTTAAGAGTGAGGCAGAGATAATGAAGATAATTGGAAAGGAGCAAGGAACCCACTCAAGTTTATTGCAGATAGGTAAGCAAGAATTTATTTTTAATTGAGAAAGAAACTCCTTTGAATGAATAAAACTGGTCTAAGATAAATGACAAAGATAGGGTTCAGCTGCCTTTCCTGGCATGGAGCAGGGGGGATCCAACTAAAACATAAGTGTCTGATTCCCATTCATTCACTCAGTTGGCTTCTTAACTACCTTATTCTTCCTGTCTCTGCTTGGCTTAGGTCAGATGATGTTATTAGTGCTGATGGTTTAACTGGCTGATGTTTTTTCCTTTTAAGTCCTACCTAAAGCCCTTGAAGAAGTGAGCTGGGAGAATAGAGAGCCCCATACTTAACAAGGAAACCCTCAGGGGCAGAAGAGAGTCAGGGCCCTGAAGATCATGTCAGTTATGGTGATGACTGCTAGGCTGCCATGAGGATTCAAAGAGAGCACACAGCATCTTCATTCATTTGACCTGAACTTCTTTCTGCCCCCAAGGATGTCAAGTGCTTCCATGAGATTTTTTTTTTAATCAGTTAACACATAATGGTGATAGCATGGATATTTTTTTAAGAGAAAATCGAAAGGTCATTTATTATACATGTTATTGTTTTCAAGTTCATAACCACATCAGGTTCCTGTCCTGAAGAAACTTGTTGTCCACAAATAGGACACTTTGCTTTCTTATATCATTTCTAGAATTTAAAATTAAAAATAGAAAACCGTTCCACATGAGAGGTGTTGACATGCTTGTTTGTAAAATGCCAGAGTCTACAAAAAAAGAAAAAAAAAGGAAAAATCTTGCCATTGGATTTTGTCTTAAATAGAAAGATTTGTTTACACTTCTCTTTCAGTGATTTTGTGAAAAATCTAACACTGGTGAAATATATGACATGCAAAAGGTTTTGTTACATAGGGATTTTTGAATTATTCATTGCTGGATCATATTGCTTTCATAAAAATAAAATGTGAAATAGAAAAGCATCATTTCGTTTGATTGGATTTAATATAGTCTAGTGGCACTGCTAAAAAGACTGCTTTTTAAATTCTATTCAAAGTATAATAAATAGGTAGTAAATATTACCTGTCCTGAACAGGAACAGAAATGAAACCTATTGGAGGCTTTGTTATCATATGAACTAATTTCTAAATTTGAGGAAATTTTTGATTTCCAGTGCTTTGTAATCTAATGTCACTGGAATAATAAATCCTTTAAGAAATTATTTAAGCCACCTTTGGAGCATACTGTTAGTGACAAGACTAGACATGCCCAGGTGGATAAAAACTAGAGATAGATGTCCAACAAGAAAATCACAGAGATTTACCACAGCTGTAGGCTTTTCCTTCATTATCTTTATAGCCAAACCAGGAGTGATAATAAATATGAAGGCTGGCCTCATAGCTTACTAGTTAAGGGCAGCAGATCCCACATGGCTGACTGAAGTTCCAATCCCAGCCCCAGCAACTTGAAAAACATGCCAGGACATGTGTCCTAAATCCCAACAGGATGGAAAAATGGAGAAAAAGGGATTGTAGCATGACCACACCCGACTTAAGGAGTGCTTTCTCTCTCTCTTTCATTCTCTCTCTGTCTCTGGTGAGCATACCCACCTTCTGGCCATTTAGAAAATAAAAATATTATGATACTACTTCCCAAGATGATTTTGATTATTATATAAGTGTCCATAGGCTAGGGGACCAGCAAGTGGCATGGTGGTTAAGGTGCTGGACACTCCCACATGGCCAACCATAGTTTGAGTCCCAAACCTGGTGGCTTGCTTTCTCACCTTCTCTCTCTCTCTCTCTCTCTCTCTCTTTCTCTCTGATTAAATTAATAATAATAAGTAAATGAATAATAAAAAATTAAAATAATTCTTTTTAAAAAATCTATAGGCTAGAAAAGGAAGGACACAAGGAAAAGGGCTATATAAATTTGAAGTATTATTGCTACAACAGTATTCTACATTAAATGCATTAATAACAATAGCTAAATCCATGAACTTATACAGGGGTCATTTCTTTATAAATTTATGTGATTTTTTAAAATAAAAATGACAGCTATGTATCAGTTCATTATAAGAATTCTTGGATACCTATGGGGAGAAGGCTTAGAAAACCGTACACTGGTACCACTTTGTGCCAGCACATCAAGGCTGGTGCATGCATCAGCACAAGGCATATCGGCCAGTCTTGGCAAAGGGGCTAAACTGGGTCCAGTTTAGTGAAGCCACACAGACTCACCATGAGGCAATGATTGTTTTTCCTTTCATACCAGCATGCTATCTTTTCCCAGTTTGCTGTAGGGTAGATAACAGAGAATGAACTCTAATTTGGACTACTAGTCCATGTAGCATGTAAGCTCTCCGTTGAATCATTACATTAATCAACTCTGTTTCTATGCAAAGAAGAAAAGCAAACTTTTAACTCATTCCCAAAAGCAAGATAAATCCCAAATGCAATTAGTCACAACTCTACTTTTTTCTCTCAACAGTTTTCCTTTGATTTTTAACTGGGACAAAAGTGATTCCTTCCCTTTCACTGGTGCGGTTGAAGTAGGCTGGTGGCTGTGAGGTAGAGAGGTGTCTTTTCTGTTGTATTCCAGTGCTTTGCCCTTCCAAGTTTTGCACACAAGGAGCCTGGATGGGAATGGACCTGGGAAAGATGAGTAATTGTTTCTGCTCATAAAGACTTAGTTCTGAAGCCCTGTATAGACTCACTCAGCTTTCTGACAGGTGAGCTGGACAGAGGACTGTCAAGACAGAAAGAATGTTCTAGATATGATGGTTCTGTGACTGAATTTTGTGACAGCCACTCATCTCCTATCTTTCCTAGTCATGCATACACTGTTGATCATTTGAGTGAGATTGTCCAGCTGGGAGAATGGGAGTCAACCTCATCATCATCCATCATAATTGGCAAAGCACTTGCCACTCTACTAGTCTCAGGATCCAGCAGAAATTAGGAAAGCTTAGTTTCATTGTTATCATTAATTAAAATTGTTTTCCCACACAGGGAATACCTCAGGCAAAACTGAGAAGATGAATACGTATGTTCTCTTACCTTTTCTCCATCCATCTTTCAGTGCCCACTTGTTTACATCCTGTTTCATGGTGACTAGAAGCCTGGTAGCAAAACTACCTGCCAGCTGTCCAGGCACACATACCATGACTCACTCACTAGGGCTTCCTTTTTTGGAGGGCTCTCCATGTTCTGGAAGAATCCTGACTCCTGGCTCTATATCCCAGTTTAGCAAGAATGAAACTGACTGACTAGCTCATCTTGCAATTGAATTTTAACCTACTCTATGGTGTGAGGCACCTAGCAAATAATACTTCAGTGAATGATGACTTGCCCATTTTTCATGCTTTCCAGATAACATTTACATTTTAATATCTGCCTTTGATAACTTAGTGTGAGGAATAAAGACTTTCAGTCAAGGCCATCAAAGAATGTTTTTCAGGGAGACAAAATCTATTTGATAATCCTTAAATTGTTCCAAAACCATAATATTACCTGTCTTTTAAAGCCTGGTCATAACACTTAAATTATTTACTATCTATCTAATGATCTCACCCATAAGATGAAATGACCCAGATCACTGTGGTAACTTTACATAATAAACTTGATTTTCACCTACAGTACATATTTTATTAGTCTGTGGACTCAGAAGCAAAATTTGCAGCACGTACTCTTCTGTTCATATTCAATTAAAAGAACTCTCTGAATAATAAAAGCTACTGTCTTAATTTTATCTCTGAAAGGCTGAGTCTACTAAGATCATTCATTGTGAAATAAAAGGACAAAGTCCCAGGTCCAACTCTTTGGTGTGTGGTTATTCCTATTCTAGTCACTTTGAACTTATAAGAACACAACAGAACTTGAAATAGAAACTTAAAGTCTGTCAGAGGTAAGAAATAGGATGTATTTTGTGTCCTTCCAACTCTCTACTGGGCTCCATGGTTACAGAGGAGAAAAGCTAGTTGTGATGGAAGGATGGATCTCTAAAATCACCACTAGCAATTCTGTGGATCAAAAAGAATTTCAGCCTTATTCTACTCCAAATATAACTTTTCCTATTAAAATAGTAATACTCAAAAATTAATAATATAATCCTACAATAAGTAAATCAACTTAGTAAAAAGGACCAATTTCTTCTGTATATTGGTTAGGGCAATACTTGTCACTGGAAAAGTTTCATGGGTGAGATTTTTAATAATATAATGTTGGTATTTTATAATAAAACACATTAGAGCAATGCTTAGATTTATTCATACCTTATTTCTGTGAAGTCAACAGAATGAACAATGGATACTGTTTCTAGAGTAGAAAACAGTAAAACAGACAACTTGAGAATAAAAACTATTGCTCATGTTTCAAGCTGACTAAGAAGGGATGATTCAAATATAGAAGTAGCTACGGTTTATGCAACAGTTACTTAGAAAAAAATGATTGTCAATGTTTCCTTTCAAGTGATAAAGTTCATCTTTGTAATATGCTTGAGATATGTTCTCTTTGGTATTGTATATATCATAGCTCTGTATTATATTACCTGCTTATATCTCCATAGCAGAGTTCATTTGATTGTGGCTAACAGAAAAAATAACCCAAAAGGTCTTAAGATAAAAAAATAATAATATACTGACTTTCATAATAGAAAGCAAAAGTCAAGGACTCTGAGTGCCATTATAGTCCAGCGTCTCTGAACAGTGCTCTCCTGGGTACTGGCTCTTCTCAAGTTATACATTGTATTAATTTTCTAGGGCTGCTATAACAAACTATCACAGACAGGGCTACTTAAATAACGGAATTCATTTTTTCACAATTTCGGAGTCCAGTTGGTGAGAATGGACTCCCTCCGTAGGCTCATGCCTCTTCCTCACTTTTAAAAACAGTCGTCAGTCTTCGAAATTCCTTGGCTTGCAGCTGCATCACTCCAGTACCTACCTCTGTCATTGTGTGGCATCTTCCCTGTATTTCTGCATCATTGACATCCTCTCTTCTTATAAGGTTCCAGTCTTTGGTTTTAGTGCCCAGCCCAATTCAGTAAGAGTTTATTTTTCTTTCTTTCTTTCTTTCTTTCTTTCTTTCTTTCTTTCTTTCTTTCTTTCTCTCTTTCTCTCTTTCTTTTTTTTTTTTGGAGAGGTTTTTGCTATAGGGCACATGTGCTTGCCAGAAAGAGGGAGACAGAGAGACAGAAAGCGAGAAATCACCCCCCGGGGGGATGACCACACCACAATCCCTTCTCCTCCTTTCTTCTCTCAGGATCTTGGGCACGCACACAGAGGTGCCCAGCGTGAGTTTAAGCCACCGGGTCTGGTACTGGAACTATGGTCAACTACATGAGAGTCCAGCAACATAGCCATTACACTAACTGCTGTCCCAGTAAGAGCTCATTTTAATTTGGTTACATAAGCAAAGGCTCTATGCCCAAATAAAGTCCAATTCACAATTACGGGAAATTAAAACTAACATTTGCTTTTGGGGGACACAATTGAACCGACAATGTATGTGATAGCAAAATAGCTGACAGCAGCTCCTTGTCTATATCTTCCCAGATTCAAAGACCACAGAAAAGAAATTGTGTTTCTCCTTTAACCACTCAAACTAAACCATGGCCTGTCATTAACTGGCCCTAATGTCCTCATGCCTGAACAGTCACTGTGGCCAGAGAGATGTGACACCCTGTTTAGTCCAATTACTCTTGACGATGTCCAACCCTATGGACACATGTTCCAAGAGTAGAGGAAAGATTCATTTCTAAAGAAAAAAAAATTAAATTATTACCAAAGAGAAATAGGTACACCAGAAGACCATACAGTGTATATCCTCAAAGGCAATTTAAAATAGGTTTGAGATAACAATATAAACAGATATGCATAAACAGGTATGCTCCTATTTACCCATAATTCTTTTTAAATTTGTTTATTCCCAATTTAGTAGAGGTAGTGACCTATATTAACATGCACATATTTAAAGTATAAAATATGAGTTTTGACATATGTGCAATTTTTACCACAAACTGTAATAACTACCCCTATCACAGCAAGAAGTTTATTCACACCCTTTCATAATTCATCCCTTCTGGCCCTGCCCATTCCTAAGCAATTTTTAATCTGCTTTCTGTCACTGTGCCTAGTTTGTACCTTCTAGAATTTTAAATAAATGGAATCATATGGTGGATGTTGTTTTGTGTCTAGGACTTTTGCTTAGCATCATTATTTTGAGATCCATCTAAGTTGTATATATAGCAATAGTTTGTCCCTTTTTCTTGCTTATTAGTATTCCATTGTATGGATATACCACAGTTCGTTTATCCTTTCATTTGTTGATGGACATTTGGGTTGTTTTCAGGTTTTGGCTATTATAAGGGACAGTCTTAATCAGGAAAACTTTACTTAAAATTGGAATTTTTAAAACTTTTGTGATGGTTGAATTATGTGTGAGTATATTAACTATAATATTTACCGAAAATAATGATAAAATATTTCCTTTTTCCTTTCTAGATCCTGAGGAGAGCAGACAAAAATGGTAAGATAAAAAAAAATCTGTGGTTTCTATTTGTTAATTCTTATATTTTAGACAACATTATAAAGTAGGGGAGTCCTAGAAATTGACGTAAAATGTGTGTTTTCTTCTACAAGTAAAAGTTTTTGGCAAGTTTATTGCTCAGGATATTCATGAGAGGTTGGCAGAAGGATTTGCATTTGACAAGAAAATGAAATTTATACCTCTGAAGTAAGAAGGCTTGTCAAAGCCTTGGACTTTGGCTTTTTCCTTTTATGTTTTGAAAGTAATTTTATAGCAATATCAGCTTCTACTCAATGAGTTATTAAGACATGAAGATGCTGTATGAACACAGGTTCATTTGACACCAAAGACTAGAGTCTCCACACTGAGGTTCATGGTGGCCTTGAAGATGCTAAGTACTTTCTAAAATGGTTGCCTAGAAACATACATTGACAGCTTTATTTTTACTTTCTGGTTCCTGGCCATAACTCTCTCATTTGAAGTGTATGTATTGGAATGATGATCTATAGAGACAGAAGTAGGAAATGATGAACCAGAAGCAAAAAATTCCTCTGTCAATTTAATGATGGCTGCATAATGTCTAATTATAAATGGATATAAGCAATATCTTTTGACTCCATTAGTCCATTAGAAATTTCGTCCCACAGAATACCAAATCGAAACTTATTAAATTTATTCTACTGCTGTAATATTACTATAATAGTAATATATTCTTTAAAAAAGAGTTTATCAATTTAGGATACTAAGGATCCTTTCTCTTTCTTGAAATCCCAGTCTTCATCTATAAGGAGAGATTACAGTTAGAGTCTAGAACTGACAATTTAAAGACATATATAATAGTCTAGTTTGCCCTTGAGAAGACATACCAAGAAAAGCTTGACTGACACTTTTTACCCGTCCACACAACAGAAAATATATTAATCCTAGGAGTAATGAAATAACATCCATGTACTGATAACATATGAGTGTACCAGATCATCAAAATATTTTCTCAAATTATGTTGTGGTGATTGATGTATTACCCATTCAAAGATGCTATTTTTCACTTAAAGTGATTAGTTTTTAAGAGAAAAGTAATGATGTTACCATCTTGTCTTTTCATCCCATCCTTTGGACTTTTGCCTGATACTCAGCCCCAGTGATGCCTAGAGTATAATTGGATAGCCCATCTGTCTGTGTATATGCCACCTGTGTTGCATTTTAGCAGCTGTCTCCCGCTCAAAAACCCTTATGTCTCTTTCCACCAAAGCTTCTAGCTCTGTCTGTCTATACTTTTATTTTCTCGGACTCCAAGGCCATCTTACCTTTGTATCTATCACTTTTTCCAAAATCATCATAACCTGTAGTTGAAATAAAAAGTACTTGACAAACCAGTTCATGATTTAATGGTCTATGATAGCCTTATATGTTATGCTACACAGAGTGGTCACTTGTGGCAGCCCATGTTCTTTTCATATTTCTTCATCTGCCTCTCTTCATAAGATACCTTTTCCTTCCTTGCTTTTTTCCTCATGCCTGATCCAAATGAGCTGTCAAAGCCACCTGCCCTCTGCTCTTCTCTCTCTCAGTCTTCACCATGTAGCTTCCTCTGCGGCCCACTGAAGCACTCAGTTCTCTGTGCATGCCACCACCTGCTGTATCTCTGCAATGTTGTCCTCCTCCACCCTCTCTGCTATAACTTTCATTCAACTCAAGAACTCTCATGTATTGCTTACTCAAAATACTTCTTATTCCAGAAGCCTTCCCTGTTTTCCTTGGCAGGTTTCCACCTTTTCTCTCTGTTCTCTCAATCCTTAGCCCATATTGATCATTCCCCTTATGGTGGGAGTCTGTAGTTGTTTGCTGGAGATTCTACTTTGCTAAGCCAAATATGGCTTTTTTTTTTTTTTTTTTTTTTTTTTTTATTTTTTTTTATAACGGGGCGGGGCGTGC